CCTCTCTGTAACTCGCTCTGATGTGCCCCATACCCCTCTCTGTAACTTGCTCTGATGTGACCCATACCCCTCTCTGTAACTTGCTCTGATATGACCTGCAACCATCACTGTAACATTCCCTGATATAACCCATACCCTACAATGTAATACACTCTAATATACCTCATACTCCTCAGTGTAACAGCCTCTGATATGCCACACTCTCCTCAGTATAACAGTCTGATATTTTTGGGGTCTTTTTTAATCGTTCATGGGATGTAGACTCTGCCAGGGAGGCACCATTTATTGCCCACCCAGTTAAGAGTCAACCACATTGCTGAGAGTCTGGAGTCACATAGAGGCCAGACTAAATCAGGATGGCAAATTTCCTCCCCTAAAGGACATCAGATTTATTTTATGATAATCAACATTAGAATAACATTTTAACAAATTCAAGTCTCACCATCTGCCATGGTGGGGTTCGAACCAATGACCAGAACATTAGACTGGGATTCTGGATAACAAGTCCAGTAACATTACCACTACGTCGCCAACTCTCTGACTGTATCTCTCGTCATGTTATGTCAGGTCTGAGAAGGAGGCTCTGGAAACCACGTTGTTTGATACCCAGCAGCAGCTGGTAATCCTGGAGGCACGGAAAGAGCAGCTTCAGGGAGAGAATCAGACTTTACTACTGGCTAAAGAGACTCTGCAAGGTAAGGCTCTCATTAGAGGAGTGACACAGCATAAACTGTGGCAGTTTGTACACAAGCATGGTGACAGCACAGACAGAAGTTGTGTCTATGCCTATTCTCTGTTGATCCCACTCCACTGCCCTTTCTGCCAAGCATGAGAATTATTATACAATTTGTTTTCGTAAACAGCTAGTGATTCTGCCTCCCCCAGCCTCTCAGCCAGGCCCTTCATCACTCACTTCATTAAAATTATTTTTCCTCGTGTTGCCTTTATTCTTCTTTTGTCAGTCACCTTAAATCGCTGTCCTCTGGTTCCTGATCCTTCTGATGTAGGAACAGTTTCTCCCCGTCTTCTCTGTGCAGAGGACATCCTGGGGCCCAGTGACTAGCTTCCCTGCCTCTGAGCCAGAGACTCCATCTCAGCAAGGCCCAGAATGGAACTTGAATCGAGGTGCATTACATAATATAGTCAAACCGATTTGATTGTGAGCCTGTTGATCCTTCCACTCCACCAATGGCAGGCAGTAAGAGTGGGAGAATCTCCTGGGCAGCCATATTTGAAGCAAAGTGGCGCTCCTCAAGCTATAGCCTCTGGCGACAGGCTAGTAACCTGCTCCGGGAAAAACAGTCTAGAGAAACGAGCATAAGCATGTGCTTTGCCTATCACTGGCAAGACCCAGAAGACCATAAGACATAGGAGCAGCAGTAAGCCATTCAGTACATTGAGTTCACTCCTCTACTCAATGAGATTTTGGCTGATCTGATCCTCAAATCCGCTTTCCTGCCCCATTCCCATATGTAGAAATCTGCCTTGATTATAATTATCAACCAAGCCTCGACAGCCTTCTGCAGTGAAGAATTCCACAGATTAATCACTTTCTGAGAGAAAAAAAAATTCCTTTTCATCATGGTCATTAATGGGTGACTTCTTACTCGGAGCTTTTGCCCTCTGGTAGTACACTGTCCCATTAGACAGGACAACCTCTCTGCACCCAGCCTATCAAACCTCTTAAGAATCTTATATGTTCCTTTATTGGAAAACTCGTTTTCAAACTGTGCACCCAGTTCTGGGTTCCCTGATGAAGGGAAACCTCCATCTCCGAATCTTTTGTTTCAATATCAACTCTCATTCCAAATGGTGTAGCGTCCAACCTGCTCAACCTTTCCTTATCTGACACCCCATTGTCAAACAGAGGCGTCTGGACTGTGGACTGCATGTGTCCTTCCTGAAGGAAGGTGTCCATACTGATGCCTCCATGTTTTTGAACAATTTGGGTAAAACTGTGCTGAAGTGGTAAATTCCAATCTCTCTCCCAACACTCACCATTCAACAATTGTTCATTTTGACAGCCTGTGAGAAGTCTCACCAAAGGCAGGAATGCAGATCCCAGGTTTAAGCTGTTTGGCAGCTTTCCTGGTGACCTCAAAACATAGGAGTAGAGATGGGAGAGAAAGTTGTCAAGAAGTCCTGCTCCCCATCAACTTGGAGCGTGCGCTAAAGGAGATCTGTGTCGCAGGATGTTAGCTGAGAACAGAGCACAGCTCAGCTTTGGTGTTCCCACTTCACCAGCTCTCCTTATTGTCTCAGTCTAGGTTCATAGGTGGTGGTGGTTTGAGCGAGGCAGTGTTGCCTGGTGGAAGGAGGAGGTATTACAGGGCATCAATGAAACTGTATCCAATATCCAATTGGACGAGTGATTCAGAAGCTCAGGCCAATGCGCTAGGGGCATGGGTTCAAACCCCACCATGGCAGCTCACAGAATTTAAATTCAATTTATAAATATAATGTAAAGCTAGTCTAGTAATGATGAACACAATGAATATCATTGGTTATTGTAAAATATCTATCCGCTTTACTAATGTTCTTTAACAATAAGAAATCAGCCTTCTTCCACTGGCTCAGCCTACATGTGACTCCAGGCCAGCAATATTGAATCTCAGCTGCACTCGAGGGCAATCAGGGGTGGACAATAACAAATGCTAGTTGACATCCAGTTGAAAGAATAAGCGAAAACCCCACTTCCCCAACCTGAACGCGATTCTGTTTGTGCCTTAGTTGAGAGTAACCGTGTACAGAAGGATATAGAGATCGAGAGGACCAAGGCAGAGCGAGACAAGGAGCTCCTCACGCAGAAACTCTCCCAAACCGAGCACGAGGCACAGGCGGCTCTGAGAAACGAGCAGACAGCCCACGAGGAGGATGTGGATCGACTGCAGCAAGAGAAGGTAATGGGGAGGTCAGTGCTTGGGAGCACAATAAGGCCTTTGTAGATTGGGGTGATTTGTAAATAGGGACTGGCAGGTCCTGTGCCTTCCCACAACTCCCTGGACGTCAACTGGAAAATGCTCAGCCACTGAGCCGGGGTACCCTGTGCTTCTGTCCCTGACTGATACTCAGCTGGTCTGTGGTAGCTAGCTGTGACTCAGCGAGAGGAAATTATCCAGGACTTCCACTGCTAATCGCTGCTGTTTGTAGAAAGTGCACGTGTGGTCACAGCAAACAAAGACAGAATTGCACTGTGCTGCCTTCTGCAGTTAAATAGTCTTCTGGCCTGAACAGTCTAGACCTGGGCATGAGGATCGACTGTGTAGGTGAAGGGCTAACAGGGTGAAAGATGCCCATGGACCATCACAGCCTGTGCCAGTGCAAGAGAGCTCAGAACTGAAGAGACTGTGTCCATTCCTTTTTTTTTGCAGGAAGCCTTGCGTCTGAGGCTGGAAGAGGAGCGTGAGGAGATTGTCCGTCAGCTGAAGCAAGAGCGGGAGGAGCTCTGTGTTCGCTTCGAAGTTGAGAAGGAGGAGTTAAGTGAAGAGATCACGGCCCTGCAGCAGGAACGCGATGAGACTCTGCTGCTAGCTGAAAACGAGAAGCAGCAGGTAGGCAAAAGACAAGGGAGTCTTGAATCCCCACACCTTCATCATCCTGCCTGCTCACACTCACCCACCATAGTTATTGGATTTATTCATGAGTAGAGAGATTCTGTGTGGCCATGCGCAATGGCCAACAGCCAAGTTGCTGCTGGGGTTTCTCAACTTGGGACCCCACATGTCCTTTGTGTTTGTTCTGCGTGTATTTTCTTCCTGCAGCAAGCCACTGTTCTCACTGTGCATTAGTATCCTGGGTACTGTGGGAGCTGGATGTTAAACATTGTTTTCGCAGATTGAAAGTTGTACATCTAACCCATTGTGATAGCAGCTCCTGTTCCCTGGCTGGTTTAGTTAAGAGTTTCTAACTGGGTGGTGATTGCTCCAGATTCCTTCTTGCCACACTGTCTAATTATTTGGACCCTCTCCCACAGATCTTGTCCTTGAAGGAGTCAGAGAAGGCGATTCTCTCAGAAAAGCTGACCAATACTCAGCGTGAGCTTGCCACCGTTTCAATGGACCTGGAGCAGCTGAGGCGGGACACAAATAGCCGACACGAACAGGACCGAGTATGTATTGTCACCTCCATCCACTGTGTACCATTAATGTCCCTGCTTAGCTACTAAAACACAGTTATCCTAATGCTGAAACAAAACCATTCATGGATAGCAAAGCTTCATACAAAGTTAAATGTAGCTAAGAACCAAGTTAACATTATTCAGCCTGAGTTAAGATGAGTAAGTCAGAAGTTGGTGTAAAGAGTGCAAACAGAAAGTTTCATCTGTAGAGAGAGGGCATTTGTGTACACACACACACACACACACACACACACACACACACACACACACACA